GGTCAGAGAAAGGAGAAATTCTTATTAGAGTGATAAAGTCACAGTTAGTTTATAGTAGCATAGTAAAGTATACTGTATATAGTATACTATGTTTACTTTTCTGCTCTTTAAATATATGTGAATTTGCTGCCTTAGACTTGAAAACAAATGAAAGACAATACTATAAACTAAATTTTCTAAAGAAGCAGATGTAAGCTGTGGTTCCAGTACTGTCTTTGAAAGAAAGGTTAGAAATGTAAACAAATGGCAGCATCTTTGTAAGGAAGGTAAATGCTTACATTAGAGTTTACAACTCTTAACACCTCTCCTTTGGCTTTTCAAAGTGGTCATGTGATAATTTTGGCATGGACAAATTTGGGGCTCAAATCATAGGAAGAACATTTTTTCAAAATAAGGGAAAATATTAAACTAATGGAAGAGTCTGTATTCCCATCAGTGCTCAGCTGTATTTCCCAAGCCTTTAATATGTGTTCCATTCTGGGCATTATGTATTTATCTCTGTATCTGCATCTTCCATTAATCTGTGAACTGCTCCAGGATTGTGCCCAGCACTATCACAGTGCCTGGCACAGGTTAGCTGTGCAAAACGCAGTGAATTTCATTGAGATGAATCTGGGACTTGATGGTCCAAACCCTGTCAGCTCCTGAACACTGGTGAGGTCTAATGTGGCCAGATAAGTTTAAGCCACTAGGACTAATGAAAAGTATATTATTTATGAAATGTTTTATATTAAATATTTTATAATGTAAATAGTTTTGTTTTGAGTTGCTAATTTGTTGGGAGCTTTTACCTCCAGGCCAACCCTATGGCACAAATGACTCTTGAGTACAGTAAGCAGTGGTACAGAGGCCAGGGTCCCATCTGTTAGCACCACGAGAACATTTCCATTGTCTTAATGGCACCCTTGTCCCCCTTCACATCTTATACCCATGTCACCTTCATCACAGAAATACTAGCAAAATGTAATATTGCCTAATTTAGTATACATTTATTAATCCCCTGCCATGTCTCCAGCAGGATGCTAGTTACCAAGGAGACAGAGATGAATGCGCAGTATCTATGGAGCACAGTTTACGGGCCCGGCAGTGTGCCAGGCACTGGTACAGCAGTTGGCTCCTGCTGTCCTCAAATTTATGTGCTATTTCACACCCTAATATGATGGAGAGAAATGAATTGACAGGTGCAATAGAATTGAACATACAGAAGAGAGCAACTAATTCTGCTCCACCGTGACAGAGAAAGCTTCAGAGAGAAAACACGATTTCACCTTGGCCTTGATGGGGTGTCCTAGCCTGACAAGGATCCCTTGTATAAAATGCACACTTATATGTAATACGCACACCCCTACCTCTGCTCCATTTTTGTCTCCTATTAAAACTAGAAAGTTAATTGGGAAATATAGAAATTTATATTTAAAATAACAACTTACAACAGCACAGTGTTAATCCTACCAAATGGTTATTCTTTCCAAGAATATTTCTGATCATTGAACAATTAATTTATCAATCACTTTTTTAAAAGAGATCTCTCTTTAAAAAATGTATAAAAACATGAAAATTTTAAAAAACAAAGTAAAAGAAAAGAAGAAATAGAGGAATAGAAACATAAATGCTTCTTCACAACTTTTTAACCTTTTTCATAGTAGCCTTTGTGATTAAGTTAGAGAACAGCCCCACCTTGCGACCAAAAATCAGCTAATTGGGCATAAAGAGCCCAATTGAAACAAACCTGAAACCAGCCTCCAGAAAGGAGGAAGCAGGAAGATGGGAAAAGACTGCCCCTTCAGGCTGATGTTATTGTTACATTTCTCATGCTAGAAATTGCTGTTCACAGAGACTTAAAACACCACTTAGTTTATGCTGTTGTGGTTAATTCTGATGATTGATTCTAATTCAAAAGCATATTTGTATTTGATTCATCTTGTAGGAAAATTATTTTTCTAAACCCTTCTGTTATTTATTTTCTACATTTTCTCTATGTTCACTTTTGTTCTTTACAACATGTATGAGATAAAAAAGTGTAATAAGCATTTTAACCTATCAAAATTAACCTTCATTTAACCTTCAGAATTATCAACTGCAATTAGATAGCCAGTAGAAGTAACATCTTTGAAAGGTGATTTGGGATTTATAAAGATAAATAAAATAGAAAATTAGGTAGTCAAAGATGATCTCTCAAAATTAAATATTTTAAAATCAGTTGTGTTTAATATTATTCCCAAATTGCCACCTACTATTTAAAATAATAACACAGTCATGAGGTATTATTTTAGATAAACACAACTGATTGTGTAGTCCCCAAATGCCAGAGACTGCCATTGTTTGAAGGTGTAAAAGAACAACTTTCCCAGGAAAATACAGATCTTAGCTTTATTACCTTGAAAAATACTGAGGCAAATCACTGATCAGTCAGTTTGTATTCATCCCTAGTAAGCAGCAGAATGTAAAAGCAAAGCAAAATATAGCTTTGCAAACACAAAAATTCATGAGCTTCATCTAAGTTTATGATGATTGAGACTAAGATGGAACTAATGTGTTAATCCAATTCTCCTGAATAACAATGGTAATAGCTCTTATTGTCATTATTTGCTCTGATATTTATGGAGGGTTTACTATTGTTATAATTTACATTTCATAGATGAGAAAACTGAGGCTTAAAGAGATTACATAATATGCCCAAGATCAAGTCATAAATCAGGTTTCAAATTCAGAGCTGGCTCAGTACCTCTGAACCATTATGTTTGTTGGAAGACAGGACTGGGACTGCCAGACTCACACTCCAACCCTCTGCATTTCAAGTTGTGTCTAGGTTGGTCGTGGGTATTCAGTTCGATCTCAAACAGCTGGGTAGAGGACAGCCTTCCACATGGTGTAATCCCCAAGGTGCTGAACAAAGACACTGCTGTTAGGAGAGTCCATTGGAGTTGCTCAGAGAATCCAAAGTCAAAGGGGAGAAAAGCGTGGCATTTTGACTAAAAGTAAGGTTAAGGGGTCAGTATGGCACACTTCTTTAGGTTCCGCTAAAGGTGAGGATTAAAAAGAGGTAAAACTCATGGTCAAGGACAACAGTGTGGGGATTGCCCAGGCAGAAGGAGTGGGGGGAGGCAGAGGAGGGTATAGGGGAGACAAATGGTGACAGAAGCAGACTTGACTTGGGTGGTAAACACAATACAATATACAGATGATGTGTCGTGGAATTGTGCACCTGAAACCTATATAATTTTGTTAACCAGTGTCACCCCAATAAATTCAATAAAAAGGAAACAATTAAAATAAAGAAATAAAGGTGAGGATTTAGACTTTCTGATTCTGTGAAATGTAATATTAGATGATAATTAGACCTTCTAGAATCTGGAATCCAATTTTATCCTGGTTCGACTCGCCAAAGCTCTATGGCTCCAGGTCTGTTTGGGGATGGAATAGAGCATTCTAGTCTGGCCCAGTCCTGGGAACTCGTGATCATCGTAATCCACCCCTAGGTCGCATCATAGGCTTTCTTTTTCTCTCCACATTTCCCAGTCAAAGCTCTTTTGGAGTGGATCCGTGCACAGCACAGGCACCAAACTAGTATTTGTTGAATGAGTGGAGGAAGTGACACAAAGGAGTCTTCATTTACAAAGTGGAGTAAGCTAGCTAAAGAAAGAAGGAGGGTATTCCAATCAGAGAGAACCACAGGTACAGAAACGGGCAATGTACATCGTGTAGGGACTGCAGTGGCTGAGCACAGCTGGACTGAGGGCTCTGTGATATGACGGACAGGTCGAGCAGCTTAGTCACAAATAAATGCCAGGACTCCGGAGCCTGCTAGCGTTGGTTTGAACTCTAGTTCCACCCCTCACCAGGTGTGTGACCTTGGACAAACTATATAACCTCTCTGTCCTATCTAATGGGGTGTCAGAAAGATTAAATGAGCTATGCCATGAGGAGTATTTGAAATGTTGCCCAATATATAACTACTACTCAGTAATTTGATCTCTTAGATTATCATGTGGGTGAGCAGTGGGTGGTGGGATAGGCAGGGGCAGGTCCTGGAGTTTCCTATGTAAAAAGGAAGAATGTCTATGCAAAGCCACGGAGAGTCTTAGAAGGTTTGTAGGAAGTCGGGGTGGGATTTGAATTATATAGAAAGGTAGTTCCGGGATGGGTGGAAGGGGATTAAACTGAGGACAGGAAGGCCAGTGAGGAGGCCATTGCAGTATTCCAGATGAAAAGAATTGAGACTTAAACTAAGTTAATTCCAGGGGTAGTGGAGAGGAAAGGGAGCCCCTAAGTGAGAGGTAGCAGGTCTAATCACAGGAGTCAGCACCTGGCCGAGTGAGAGGGAGGCTGAATCTCAGTTTTCAGGAGGGAGCAGTTGGGTGGGTAGGAATACCAATCACATGAACGCTAGGAATGAGGTGGACTTGGAGGAAGATGAAGAGTTTAGTTCTGTGCGTGGTGTCTTTAATTTTTGACATGTTGAGTTTGAAGAGAGCAGCCAAGTACCAGAGCCTAGTAGGCGATGGATAAACAGGTTTGGTACTTCAGAGAGAGACGAGAACTCTGATAAGAACTCTACCCATTATTAAGTGGAGCTGTTCATACTTCTGGGCTGAAGAACAATAATTTGCGGGAGGTGGGGGGTGTAAGATGCTATCTATGCCCTAATTAGAGATATTAATATATAAAAGATGAACAAATCCCATGTAGAAAATGGTGAAGTTGGAAGATTCTTCTGGCAACTTCTTCAGGAACATTGTCATTTATTGTCAGACAGTAGTGACTAAAACAAAGGCGCTGTCAAAATGAAAGACATACAGATCATTGATTTAGTTGTATTTTGAGGATTTTGTTATCTGACCTTTTTTGCCCTGCCTTTGGCTGGAACATGGAATATATAGTATTGTTTAAATGGCTGCGCATGGGTGCAAATATTAACGTGTGTGTGTCATGTGTTTGTAATATTATGCTTCTCAGTTCTACAACAACTTTACCTCTGCAATTTTTAAATTCCCTCACAGGTATCTCTGATGAATATATAACACCGATGTTTAGCTTTTATAAAAGTGTGGCAGAATTAAAAATGACTCAAGAAGAGTATGCTCTGCTTACAGCAATCGTTATCCTCTCTCCAGGTAATTCAATGTGAGATTTTTATTTGCATGCTGTTGGTTCTTTTTTTTTTCAACATAATCATAATATTGTTATGAAGAAAATCAGGAAAACACAGAAACATAAAAAAGTAAAATGCTTATACCCCCATGGCTTCACACTGAGTCATGGTTACACATCAGCGTATTTCTCCTCAGCCTGTTTTCAAAACCTCATGTCCATCCAGTAAATGCACTTTTGATACCGACTGTGCACTAACCATGGTTCTAGACACTGGGGGACATGCGGTAAAGAAACGGGGAGAACACAGCAACACGGAGCTCTCCACACTCTAGTAGGGTAAAGATAATAACTGAAGAAACAAAAATAATTTGCGGTAATCATGGAGGTAGTGAATGCTAGAGATGAGAATATAAGAGAAGAAAGTGGCAGTCGAGTGTTACTTTAATTAGTGGTCAGGGAAGGCTTTTCTCTGGATATGGGCAGGGACCTAAATGAAGTTACATATATATTTTTTACAGCTTTGTATTTATCTATTATAATTTTAATTAAATTTATTGTGATAAACATTTTAGCATAATATAAAATATGCTTTTTAAAAAAGTGTACTTTTATTTAAAAGTCTTTACTCATGTCATTAAAAATTATACTGGTAAAAGTTTATTGTCATGCATGTATCATATAACATTGTATTGATAACCAGTCATTTACTTAATTTTTACCATATGTTTGAATATTCAGAATATTTCCAATTTTCTGTTGTTTTAAACAATGTTGAAGTGAATACCTTTGTACATATATTTTTCTGGTTTTTGCTTAATTATTTGGGTTTAAGTGATGCCACATTTATGGCCTTAATTTGTGGCCTTAAACCATTTTATACATGGTATTAAGTCAGAAGCTAGTTGTTTTACCATAAAAATTATAATTAAAAAGAAGGAAAACATGTTGGCAGTACCTGCTAAAGTTACACATGCATAAACCCTGTGACCCAGCAATCCCGGTCCATGGGATATGCCACCAGAAATGACGCTTAGGTTCACCACTCAGGTTACTTTGGGGGCATTGATCAGAAGAGGAATTTAGGGAGGCCTCTGAGGGCAGTAAATTTTCTGTATCTTGATCTAGACGTGATTAAGTGAGTGTGATTAAATGACCTGGTTGTGATTGAATGCATGTGTAAAAATTCATCCAGTTTAACACTTCATGTGTACATTTCAAATGTACAACAGGTGTTAAGTTCTACTTCAGAAAAGGGTAACGATACGATATACTTATGCTGAACATTCCACTTTTTAATTTCGTGGTTTTATCTTCAACTTCCAAACAGATAGGCAATACATAAAGGACAGAGAGGCAGTAGAGAAGCTGCAGGAACCTCTGCTCGATGTGCTGCAGAAGTTGTGCAAGATCCACCAGCCGGAAAACCCTCAGCACTTCGCCTGCCTCCTGGGCCGCCTGACTGAGTTGCGGACGTTCAATCATCACCACGCGGAGATGCTGATGTCGTGGCGGGTCAACGACCACAAGTTCACCCCGCTGCTCTGCGAAATCTGGGACGTGCAGTGATGAGTGCCGCAGGGGCGGGGCTGCCTCTCCGTTTTCCGCCTGTTATAAGTCTGATGTGTAACTTTCCCTTATTTCATTTGTACCTGGTTTCGCACCAGAATTTTGATGAGTATTTATGCAGTAATTATATAACTTCCACAACTGTAAATAGGGGGCTAGGTAGAATTACTTTCTCTACTTTGTATTTGACACGGCTTCAGGGAATCTTTTATTCTAATTGGCATGCCCTGTTTGCCTAATAAAATTGATGATTACTTCAATTCTTTATGTTGAAATAGGGAAAATCTCATTTCGTTCTTCATCTTCCCTTATTGCATATATTTTATTAAACAGTTGTGTGTACTTTTGGCAATAAACTGAACGTAATGGCAACAAGCTTTCATTTGGGAACAGGATTTCAAAGAATATGCAAACAAATGACACCCTATTGAGCCTGAGGGGATAATTTATAAAAAGATGAATTCTCACAACACAAATGGTATATTTTTCACCCCCGGAGAAGCCACGGTGAACATTCATTCACTTGTAGTAACCCTCTGATCATTTAATTTTCTTTGACATACAAAGAGAATAGCATACGAAAAAATGAATGATTGTCACATAAAATATCCCCATGGATATTAGTTACACTTTTAGGAGGAATACTTCCCATAGTCATCGTCCTGAGGCAGCATTTACAAATTCAGAGGATGCAAATAACTCCAGTGATGGGGCATTTCCTCCTCTCTCTGAAAAGTGCTCACTGTTGACTTAGTGCATATAATTAATCATTTTTTGTTTTGTTTTGCTTTACTTTTGGAAAACACTCCATTAGCCAGGTGCACAGCTGTTGTATACTTACTCCAAAGCAGGAATTAGTTCATTTCCTTCCTTCATTGTTATACTGTTGCATTCTTCTCCCCATTATCCTTTGGTGAATACAATAAAACACCTTCTGTAAGTAATGGGCTTTTATCTCCCTTTCTCCTGAAGTCAGCCAAAATGGAGCTTGCTTAGCAAGCAAAGTTTTTTTTTTTTTTTTGTATTAAAATACTGGGGCAACCCTGAAGTCCTAAAGTTAGCTAGTCAGTGGAAAAGAGGGTGAGTTGGGGCTGCATCAGTTGGATTCCATCTGCTCCAACAACAGAGACTTGAATCCCCACTAAAAGTACAAGATTCTTTTGCTGAACACCACGGGAGAACTCAAAGATGACGGACACACAGAAATGACTTCGGTTCGTATTGGGGGTTGGGAGATGCATTTTATAGGTTCCCCTGTCAGCTAGCTGTGGCTAAGTTAAATCAATGGAAGGACAGAAAGGGAAAATTCAGGGTATTTCCCCCTTGCTCTCTGCCTCACATGGCATCTCTAGTAATGATTGAATCCCTTCTTGGGCAAACCCTACCCTATTGTTGAAGGCCCGGGCTTCTGGATTCCTCTTTTGAACTTCCAAGCCCTCAAAGTGCAGTGGCTTCCTAGGGTTGCTCATCTCTGGGTTGTCTCGTCTGCTCCTGTTTATTGTCTTTGTTCTTTCTTCTCCTATGAAACCAGGTTCCTGTGTTAAATTTCTTCTTTCTGAGGCACCTACAGTGGTTCATGTTTTCTCCCATCCAAGTACTAACCATGCCCGACCCTGCTTAGCTTCCGAGATCAGACAAGACTGGGCGTGTTCAAGGTGGTATGGCCGTAGACTGGTTCACGTTTTCTGACTTGAGCCTGACTAGACAGTTCCTTTTTTTCTTTTGGTTATACTTGAACCTATGGAACTTGAACTGCTGGAAGCCATCTTGTAACCAGAGAAAATCTGAGTATAAAGCCAAGTTAAACAGCAGAGCCGTTTGAGGCTGGATTCAGGTTACACTATTTGAAATCTTAGATTAAGCTTTACCTAAAACTAGAGAATTCTATCAAGGGATTTTAATTACATGAGCCAATTATTTTTTCGTATGTTAAATTGAGAACTTTTCCCTTCATATAGAACTAAAAAAATCTTATCTCTTATAGGGGCACTCTCAATGGATTTAGAGCCCACCCTTGTCCAATATGATCTCATGTCAACCCTTAACCTTAATTATACCTGCAAAGATCTTATTTCCCAAGGTCATATTCTGACGTTCCAGGCAGACATAAATTTTAGAGGGGACACTATTCAACCCATCATATAGTTAATATTTTAGTATTAATAACAATGATTATAAAATTTTATATCATTGAATTACTTATATGTCATTTTGTTCATGTAAATTGGTAACAGTCCTCCAAGATAGAACTTAGTATTGGTTTTAATGAAGTTGGCTTTCAAAAGATTAGCTGCCGAATGAGTAGTTTAATTAATTGTGAATGAATCAAGATTTCTGTTGACCCAAAATTTCATCTAGCATATCACCCGAAGAAATATTGAGATCGACTCAATAATATAAAGACATTAAAATCAATAGCAGCAACCACAGCAATGCAGGACAAAACAACTAGGAAACCAAAAGCAAAAATAAAAACCCTTCAACTATGGTGTATTTAAAGCAAAAGAGCATTCCTGTAGAACTGTGAAAGAGCCAAATCATATCTCAATATACAAGGGGTACATGAGAGAGTCTCTTCGGTGTTCTGTAAAGATGGTTAGTGAGATGATTGATTATTCCTAACGTAATAACTCAAAATTTAGATCTCTAAGCTCAATACTCATTAAAGTGGGGCACATCTTCACAGTGCTGGGGAAGACAGAACTAATAGACCCTGTCATCTGATGAAAGCAAATGAATGGGGCTTGCTCTGCATGTTGCAATCATGTCGATTTCAAGTAAAGCGAGATTCTCTAAAATGTGACTATTAACCCAACCACCAATTAGGAAATCTGCACATGAAAGTAGATTGCAGCTCATTAGGTGGAACCCTCAATTACTAATTGCAGTGTTAAAAGTAGGTAAGATGATCAGTGCACTTATCAAGTGGGGCACTAACTGACAATTCATGTAAAAGCAAGGTTGGGAAAGGAAGACAGCTGTTTTCGTGTTTATGTGGAAGGGGGAAACAACAAGAATCAAAGAATCTAGAAGAGAATCCCCACATTTCACCAGTGAAGAATGTGGCCTTAGAGATGAGAAGCCATTTCCACAGGCTGGCTATGGATGCGCTTTTCCACAGTCTTATATCTGTATAAGGAAGATAAATTACCAGGACAAGCCAAGTAGACAATGAAAATAAAATGTAAGTAACCATAAAATACCCTGTTACCAAAGTTTCAATAAATGGTTAGAATTATTGTTTGTGTGTGTGTGTGAGAGAGAGAGAGAGAGAAAGAGAGAACACTGCTGTATATACCTCATATAGCAATTTTTAACAAGAGGTACTCAAATATTTAGGCATGTTTTATGCATGTAAGAAAAAATAAAAACTGTTAACTAATGACTCATCGAACAAGATCTATATAACACAATTTATTTTTAAGGTTCTCCAGAGAAGTGTACATATTTCAATAGTAGGGCTCAACAAATCTGATTTAAAACTACAAAGCAGCTGGACATTTTGCTAAATGAAGGGGTATGACAGTTACCTCTAGTTTTAAGTAGAAACACTATAAAACGTAGACCGATTTGAATAGCACGTCCTGTGAAAATTGACCCATTGCAGTCACGGGCCATAAAGTGTTCTGGGAGGGGCTGTTGGGCACCAGGCTCAGTTACCACTTACATGCCAACCTTTTGATGTCCATCTTTGCCCATCCCCCAAAGCAGATATGCTCTGCAAGAGCAGGACCCCGTGCTTAGGGTACAGTCTGGCGAAGAGCAAGTGCTCAATAGTACTCATTGAATTGATTTCTCAAATCTGTATCTCTTGCACAAACCAATTTAATCACCTTCAGACCTAACTTCCCAAATATCTTCTGAACACCTCTGCCTACATGTTCCTCTCATACGTCAAACTGAACACATCCCAAACCAAAACACATTGTTCTTTCCCCAGAGTTGTTTCTCCTGCATTCCTTAGATGGGTATCAGTGTCACATGATAACCGAGTCCAGATACATCAAACTCTTAGGTATCTCTTGATACTTCTTCCTCACCTTCCCTTCTGAGCTAGTTTAGATAACTGTCATCTATTTTTTGTGTTTTTTTTAAGATTTTATTTATTTATTTTTAGAGACAGTGGAAGGGAGGGAGAAAGAGAGGGAGAGAAAACTTGATGTGTAGTTGCCTCTCACACACTCCCCACTGGGGACCTGGTCTACAACCCAGGCATGTGCCCTGACTGGGGTTCGAACCAGAAATTCTTCGGTTCTCAGGCCAGCACTCAATCCACTGAGCTACACCAGCCAGGGTGTCATTTTTTATTTTATAAATTGCTGCCAGTCTTACTCCTTTCTTTAAAATCCTTGAAAATAATTTTTTTCCTAAAACAAACTTATTCATACCATTTCCTCCTACTAATCAATTCCAATTGCCTATAAGAAAGAATCTAAAGTCCTTGGCACCTACCAGGACTTGTGCCTTCCTCTTCAGCCTCATCTATCTCCTGATCTCCAGACTTCAGTCATTCACTCATACCTGCTATGCCCTGATTATCCCAGGTGCTCTCCCATCCCTGGAACCTTGTTGTTCTCTATGCCTGGAAAGCACTTCCTATTCCCAATTATCCTTCCTTTTGGCAGATTCGAATTCATCCTTCAAAATTCAACTTCTTTCAAACCTCTGACCACCCCTGTCCAAGACTGTTAGGGGTTCCATCTTGCACAGACCTCCACAGACTTCCATTGATTGGGGCTTTACAAGGCTGCAGGGCACTTTGAGGGCAGGACTGTCTTCATTTTAGTCTCTTCCACCAGCAATAGTACTCCCTGTTTGTTTTTGGTGAGTGAGTGAAGGAGTAAATGCGCATGCATGTGCAAGAGAGAGAGTGTGAATCATTCCAGGTCAATCCCCACACTTTGTACACAGGGAAACGTAGTCCCACAGAGGTGACTTAATTTGACAAACCTAAACTAACAAGAGCAGAAGGGCCTGAAACTCCAGGTTTTTGGTCATTGATTTTTTTTTTCAATTAACATGCCACACTTACAGTTATTACAGACCCATCTCTTGTTCCATTTAAATCCAGTCCCTGCTTTATGTCAACCTGTGGAGAGCAGGATGAATAAAATGGCATAGGTCCAATTAAGATAGCATAAAGTATATACAACAAAGTAGAGTCACGTATGTCAACTAAAATGTCTGTCAGTCAGCCCTGACACTTTGGTTCAAGAGAAAACTACCTAAGTCAGAGTAAACACATCTGGCAAGGAGACACACTAAGATATCCGCGCACGTGGTCAGAACGGCCATGTCTGCAGAGTGGGGCCACCCATAGATAGGCTCCTGGGCAAATTCCCTACTGGGCATCAGGGCTGCCAAGACACTTA